TTGTTTTTTTTGCGGAACCGGGGATTGAACTCTGGCCCTTGCGCTTGCCAGAAAAGTGCTTATTCCACTGAGCCATCTCCCCGGCCCCTGCATGGACTGTTTTTTAAGCAGAAAGAGATAATCAGATTTAAGGAAACTGACCACCACAGCAGGAGCTATGAGGGGGCCAGAGCAGAAATACAAGGCAGATCTGAGCAGGAACGGGGCTTGCGAAGGACAGGCGGGCTGGGGGTAGCAGGAGGGAGTGACACAGATGGGGTGGGGTCTTGGGCATGCTTGGGGCAAGGAGGACAGTATGGCTGGGTAGAAGGCAATAGAGCACCTGGCTCCAGACTGGCTGCCTTGTGCGTGTACATACATACATGGGCTTCTGGGAACAAGAAATGCAGTTTTACAGAGAAGGAACTAGAAGACCAAAAGTGTTAAAGCTGGGCAAAGGCCATGTCAGGATTTGAACCCAGGTCTTTTTTTTTTTTTTTTTTTTTTGCAGAACCAGGGATTGAACTCAGACCCTTGTGCTTGCCAGGGAAGCACTTATTCTACGGAGCCATCTCCCCGGCCCCCTTGAACCAAGGTCTTATGAGGCAGCTGAAATGCATCACTTTATCGCCTGGGGTCTGTGACTCTAGGCTCAGCTCCTTTACTTAGGAGTCAGGTTCTTCTTGGGGAGCCTTGAAGTCAGACCCTGCTGCGGAGCCCAGTGACCACAGGAGTACAGCCAGCTGTCTTTGGGCCTAAACCTCCACTTAGCAGAAGGCTGCTCTCCAGCCAGCCCGAGCCGCTGGTTACCCAATGCCATGGCTTCCCTGCCACCCACTGAGAGTTGTAAGAGTCCTGCCCACCACTGTCCCCCAGGCACCCACTATGTCAGGCCTGGTGCCAGGCGCAGTATGGCTTTCCAGTTACAGAGCAGAGAACCAATGGAGATCGGCAGGTGCAGAGGGGAGGAGAAGGTTCAGCCCTTCTCTGGGGTGGGAGTGGGCACTGCTTGTGTAATCATGCCAGGTCTCTGCACCCCTCACAGAGATCCAGGCTTCCCTGGAGGGACCCCAGCCTCCATGGCGTCCCCCATCCAGCTCCAACTTCAGGTCTGCTGTTCCAGCTTGCAGGACGTTCCCAGGCCTCCCCAGCCTCTCAGCTCCTCCTGGCCACCTCTCCTGGAAACAGCCAGGCTGGCCCTGCCCCCTCCCGGGCTGTGCTCCTGGCAGCGCTGCCACCCTGGGCTCTGGTCCGGGGGTGGTCCCTGGCAGAGAGGGAGGCAGGCGGAAGCTGGGATCGGTGGGGCTGAGCTGTTGGGCATCCGGAGACCCCCCCCCGCCCCACCCCACAGCTCACTGCACACCAAGCTGGGTGGGTAGGGCTTTTTGGAAAGGGGTGGCCTGAGGTTTTAATCACTTTATCAATGTTTGTTTGTGTAATTCCGCCCCGAGATGCTTTTCCCTCCATCTGTCCCCACCATCTGCTCCTATCAGGATTTTCCAAACTGTTTGGGACCCAAGAGGTACCCGAGTAGGGGGTGGGCTGGGCTTCTTTGAGGACTGGAGAGGAGCTGCCCCCACCTCTTTCACGGAGAGCTTTCCAGGTAGGGGCTGGGAGCTGGGTTCGGATTCTGACACTCACTTTCTTGCTGTTGGACTTCAGGATAGGAAACTTGAAGCCTCTGATCCTCAGTTTCAAAATCTGTAAAATGGCAGCAACATTAATGATTCCTCAGGCTCAGAGAGGAGCAAACGAGGCAGTCCATGTAGACCATTCTGCCTATCACGGGTGTTGTGGTCGGCTCTTCCTCCGGCCTGAGTGCTTATGCAGAGAACCTACAACTCAAGAGCAGGTCTGTCTCTGGAGGTAGAAAAGGGTAGTTGCCCTGGGTTCTGAGCCCCTCGCCCCACTTCTCAGATGCTGGGGCTTGCTCACTCTGGTGCACACTGACTGCTGCTCTGTGCATTCCCTCAGCTACCTGCAGCTCCCCTCCTCATCCCAGCTGGGGCTCCCCCTCCCTCCTGCGTCCTCAGCCAGAGGCTGGAGGGTCCTGGACCTTCAGCCAGGGCCTCTTGCAGCAGGCCTTCCAAGAGAAACTGAGGGCTCCAGGACCACATGCCTTAGCGCTCTCTCTGCCTGCCACCCAGCTGGTCGCTGCTCAAAAGGGTCCTCCAGCAGGGCGGGATGCCCCTCTACCCCCCCCCCCCGTTTGTGAGCTGTACCTCAGTGCACCAGATCTTGGACAAGGGCCTTAGAGTACAGAGTGGGGAACTCCCAGAGTCCTCTTCGGGCCCAGCCCCGCAGAGATGTGGCTGGTGCTCTGTGCCTCCTCACTCCAGGCGCAAGCTCTGAAGACCACCTACTGGGGCACAGGGTGAGCTGCTTGCAGGTTTGACGACACACCCCAGAGAACAGTGGTGGAGCCAGCTGAGCCAGGGAATCTGCCTTTTAGGCAGAAGTGAGGGTGCACTGAATGCTGTCTACCCGTGAAAGAAGGCAAAGGAGGACCCAGACCAGGCCGGGAAGAGTCTAACTTTGGGCAGAGCGGGAGAGTCACAGGGGAAGGAAATGTTGAGAAAAGGACCACAGGGCAGGCCACGCATGAAAGGCCCTCCGGGCACCCTGAGGAGAACAGGAGAGGGTATCCCTGGAGGGCTCAGGGTGGGGGTGGAGAAGCTCTCTGCTCCCCACCTGCAGGTCCTTACTCAGGAGGCAGCTGGGAACCACCCACATATGTCTGGCATGTCTCACACCCCCACAGGGGTCCCAACACCAGAGCAAAAACACACAGAGAAGCTACTGTTCCGGGGGCCCAGCTGTCCCCCGTCCCCGCCCCTCCTCCCGTCTGGCTTCCTAGTTATAGTGAAGACCTCCTGACCTGCCCCCAAGCAGATGGACAAAGGCTACACATGCTCAGCTCAGGCCGCCTAGAAGACTTGATCTGGGAGGTGGAACTTTGGTCTAAGCTCTGAGGAACCAGGAGGCTCTGATTTACTGGCACTGAAAGAACAGCACAAAGAGGAGCTCTCCAGGCAGGTGGTAAATTCTGTTGGCTCCTTAGACCTTCTTGGGAGGTTCAGAGACAAGACTCCCCTCTGCCACCCAGCTCTTTTTTTTTTTTTTTTTGTATTAGAAATTGAACTCAGGGGCCGGGGAGATGGCTCAGTGGAATAAGCGCTTCCCTAGCAAGTGCAAGGGCCTGAGTTCAATCC